CCCCCAGAGTCAGCGAACGGGGGCTGCGACGGCGGCGGCGGCAGCGGCGGCGGCGACGGCGACGGCTGCAGCGGCGGCAGGGGCGGCGGAGGAGGGGACCGGGGGGGGGACACCTGGGGAGGGGCGGCCGGCGAGGACTGCACCGGAGGGCCACCAGAGTCAGAAGACTCCTCAACCGGGTCCTCCGACGGAAGGGGGGTGACGTGGGAGACACCAGAGGGGGCGGGACGGGGAGGAGGAGGAGGAGGGGCAGGGACTACCGGGGAAGGGGTGACCAGGAACAGGGGGGGGTAACCGGGGGACCACGGTGGGGGAAGCGGCGGTAGTAGGAGACGGACTCGTCAAAGGTGACGTCACGAGAGTGAAAGAAGCGGTGAGACGGCGGGTGGTAAAAGTGCCAGTCGGACGCGTCAAGGGGAAAACCGAGGAAGACGCAGGGAAGGGTGCGGGCAGTGAGCTTGTCCGTGCCGGAGGCACGGACGTGAGCAAGGCAGCCCCAGACGTGGAACGCAGACGCGTCACCAGGAGACCCAGTCCAAAGACGGGTCGGCGAAACCTGCGGCTGCTGAGGGTGCGGCCACAGGTTAAGCTGGTGAGAAGCGTAGCGCACAGCGAACGGCCACAGAAAATGGGGTGCACCGGCATGGACCATGGAGGTGCGAGCGACCTCCATGACCAAACCGATGCGTCGCTCAGCGACCCCATTCTGCTGTGGGGAGTCCGGTAGGGTGAACGTCTGGGTGATGCCCTTCGCACGACAAAAGCGACCAAGGACACCTGAGGCAAACTCGCCACCACGGTCTGAGTGAAGACGCAAGACAGGGAGACCGCGGTGGACACGCGCAGAGACAAGCTAGGGGATGAGGGCGCCAGGCACGTCGGCCTTGCGCTCCAGGGGAAAGACTGTGGTGTAACGAGTGAAGTCGTCGACAAGCACAAGGAAGTAGCGCTCGCGACGCGGCCCAGGGACGGGGGCGGGGCCCCAGACGTCCGGGTGCAGGGTCTGCAGCGGCGCGGCGGTAGGGGGGAACGAGGAGGAGTGAGGGGCACGGCGAAGCCGACCCTCGACACAAGGCGTGCAAGGTGGAGCTGGGGAGGAGGGAAACGTGGGGAGTGAACCTGGGAGACCAAGGACAAGACCGTGCTGGGACATGTGACGCAGACGCGGGAGCGCAGGGTGACCTAGGCGGTGGTGCCACAGGAGGGTCGGGTGAGTGAGGGAGCGACAGGAGCAGGCAGCAGCAACCTGGGAAGACACAGCCACCTGAGGGGGCGCTCCAGCCGGGGGGGGCACGATGTCCAGAGTGAACAGGCCGGACACCGGGTCCCGGGGGAACGTGGACAGGGGGGCACCAGTGGCGGCCTCGGTACAGACAGCATACCGCTCGTGACCAGGGAACGTAGTGGTGACGCCAAGGTCCTGGAGGCAGCCGACACCGACTAGGTTCCTGGAGAACGAGGGGATATGCAGACCTGTAAGAGAGCCCGAAGGAACCGCCGGACAGGGAAGGGTGGTGGAACTGCGGGCGACTACCGGACCGCCGGAGGGGTCAGCAAGAGAAACGGCAGTAGGAACAGAAAGCGGCGTCAGGGTGGTGGAGTCGCGGAAGAAACACCGAGAGGCGCCAGAGTCCAAGGTGAAGGAAAGCGAAGCCGAGGGGTCTGGCGACGGAACGACGGCAGAAGCACCAAGACTACACAAAGCAGGGGATCCTACGCCTGACGCAGCAGGGGAGGCTAAGCTAGGCACACCTACACTAGGCAACAGTGAGTAATAAGTCGGAAGCACACTAGAGTCATCAGCATACATCACATGCAGAGCAGAAACAATGGCATCCATGTCCATATCAAAGATCTGAATCTGACGACTAAGCAAACTGTGCCAGTCCGGGAGGTCTGGCGACGGGCCGAAACGCTGACGAAAGAGGTCGTCCAGGCGACGAAAGCAGCGGGGAGTGGAGTGACCAATCTTACCGCAAACGAAGCCGCGGCGAGGACCGGTTTGGATCTGGTACTGACAACGCCCGCCGGCAGAGCCACCACGCGGCACACCACCCCGCGCCCGTCCACCGCCAGCGCCGGGCCACCCTGGCGGGAGAACGCTCGTCTGCCGCGTCTGCGACGGCTGCTGCGGCTGCTGCGAAGGCTGCGACTGCGGCGGCTGCTGCGGCTGCTGCAACTGCAGGGGCGGCGACTCAGCTGGACTGGGCAGGGTCCCCTCGTCCGCTCCAGCACCAGGCGACCCGACCCCACCACTACCCCCGCCCGCACCCCTGCCGCCCCCTCCGCCGCGCCCAGCCTTGGGGCGGCGGCCCTTCCCAGAACGGGCCTGCGCTGCAGCAGCAGTCTCAGCCACTGCGGCAGAGCCGTCGGAGAAGGTACACTGAGCGGGGGCACAACCCTGAAAGATAGGGACCGGCACTACACCGCTCGCCTGGGCGATGGAGCGGTGACGGGTCTCTATCACAGTCAGGGTGTCGACAAAGTCAGTGAGGGTGAGGTCTGCGGGGTGAACACTAAGGAAGCGGTCGCGGGCGACAGCAAGGCGGTCAGGGAGGCGGGTGGCAAGCAGGTAGAGGGTAGAGGTAATGGGCGGCTGGTGGGCTCTAAGCTGTGCGTCAGTGCAGGCGGCGCGCCAGGTCTCCTCTATCGAGCGCAGGTGGGCAACGAGGTCAGAGACAGTGGGGAACGAAGCAAGGTCAGGAAAGAGCAGCGAGAGGATCAGGCGACCCACCGAGGCAGCCGGAGGGGTGGAATAGCGCTTGATGACAGCATCTAAGTATGCCTGAGCAGTAGTGAGGGACCTAAAGCGAGGACGCTCGGACGGGGGGAGGGCGTTGCTAATGGCAAGCTGGGCGACAGCATCGCGAGAAAGCCAGACAGAGCGCGCACGGGCAGTGGCAGCAGTAGACTCACGCTCAGTGGGTGTGGGGTCAGCGGGCAGAATAGCAGGAGGGTCTGGGCAGGGGAGCGTACCGTCAAGGTGTGCGGAAAGCGGTTCACCATCCTGCCGCTGGCCAGTGAGTTGGCGGCGGAGGTCGGCAAGCCACGCCTCGAACTCTAGGGGCTGACCTTCAGCGTCGAAGCGAAGCTCCGCCGCCATCAGGAACAGTCCAGTGCTGTGCAAGGCGGTGCAGCTAGGTGGGGTGCGGTGCAGTGCGATACAGTGCGGTGCAGTGCGGTGCAGTGCGGTACAGTGCGGTATAGTGCGGTGCAGTGCGGTGCAGTGCGGTGCAGTGCGGTACAGTGCGGTGCAGTGCGGTACAGTGCGGTGCAGGGCGGCACGGAGCAAGGCGGGGTGGGGGGGGGGGAACCGTACCAGTGAGGAGGACGGGGCCGGGGCTGGCCCGACGGGGCCGGTCAGGCGCGACGGGGCCGGGCTGGTGCGACAGGGCCGGGACGGGGCGACGGGGCCGAGCGGGCGCGACGGGGCCGGGCTGGGGCGACGGGGCCGGGCGAGTTCGGCAGGGCCGGGCCGGTGCGACGGGGCCGGGCGAGCGGGACGGCGACCGGGCTGGTGCGACGGGGCCGGGCGGCTGCGACGGGACCAGGCAGGGTGCGACGGGGCCGGGCAGGGTGCGACGGCGCCGGGCGGGCGCGAAGGGGCCGGGCGGCGGCGACGGCGCCGGGCGGGCGCGACGGGGCCGGGCAGCGGCGACGGCGCCGGGCGGGCGCGACGGGGCCGGGCGGCGGCGACGGGGTGGGGCGGGCACGACGGCGCCGGGCGGCGGCGACGGTTACGACGCGGCCCAGGAGGGGCGCTACGGGGCCCAGGAGGGGCACGACGGGGGGGGGGCCCAGGAGAGGCGCTACGAAGCCCAGTAGGGGCGCGACGAGGGCCAGGAGGGGTGCTACGGGGCCTGGAAGGGGCGCGACGGGGCCTGGGAGGGGCGCGACGGGGCCCAGGATGGGCGCGACAGGGCCCAAGGAGGGCGCGACGGGGCCCAGGAGGGGCGCTACGGGGCCCAGGAGGGGCGCGACGGGGCCCCGGAGGGGCGCTACGGAGTTCAGGAGGGGCGCGACAGAGCCCAGGAGGGGCGCTACGGGGCCTGGAAGGAGCGCGACGGGGCCCAGGAGGGGCGCGACAGAGCCCAGGAGGGGCGCTACGAGGCCTGGGAGGAGCGCGACGGGGCCCAGGAGGGGCGCTAGGGGGCCTGGGAGGAGCGCGACGGGGCCTGGGAGGGGCGCGACGGGGCCTGGGAGGGCGTTACAGGGCCCAGGAGGGGCGCTACGAAGCCCAGGAGGGGTGCGACGAGGCCCAGGAGGGGCGCTACGGGGCCCAGGAGGGGCGCGACGGGGCGCTACGGGGCCTGGGAGGAGCGCGACGGGGCCCAGGAGGGGCGCTAGAGGGCCTGGGAGGGGCGCGACGGGGCCTGAGGGGGGGGGCGCTACGGGGCCAGGGGGGATGAGCGGAAGCGGTAGGTGGGGGGGGGATCCTACCTACGCGTGATACCATATCAGAAATTAGAATTGAATAATCGTAATGTGAGAGTACACACAAATATATCTAAGTTTTGTATCCTCTAAGAGGTGACTCTATACAGTCTATACAAACATGACAAATACACATGTTTGACAAAAGGCTCCAATTTGGGGGCCTGGTCCAAATACGAGAACAACCAAGGCCGTTGACTGCGGGTCCCAAGACAGGTCGAACGGTAATTACCCTCTCGATCGATTGCACATCATCAAAACTGATCACGCCAGACAACAGTTACTGTAGACCCCCTGTCGGTGAAAATGGACATCTTATCAAACAGCTACTTCACAGTGTTCGATATAGGGACTTAGCTGATGGCATGTACACTATTTGAATGGCAACGCGTCCACTCTATGAAGACCGAATCCCACTTTCCATTTTAATGCAACACAACCTTTTTTGCATGAAGGATACTGTTATTTTATATGTTAGTATATAATTGTATGCTTGGTAGGCTTAGTGAACTTTACTGTAGAGGGTACAACACCCCTTCTTGTATCCCTCTCTCTTCTATTCTGATTCTCTTTTCTCTCCTCAACTTTCCTAGCAGCTAAAACATCTCGCCATTTCCATGGCTCCTCCTAGCTCCTAGCTAAACCTCATGCCATTTTATGGCTTCCTAGCTAAGCTAGTCTTGTGACAGATACCACTCATGCCATTTATTCATTTGCGAAAATAAAAAGCGTCAAGTGCATTCACACAAGCATTTTGTACACATAACCACCCATGCTCTCTACACAAGCTTCACCTCTCGGTTGAAAACCCAACTGAACTTGCCAGTCTGCGGACCGCCCTTCTTCACCTTATCTGCCGCCCGCTCCGCCAACCTCCTGATCCTGGGCGGCAGCTTGCAGACAAAGTCCTGCGCACGTGCAGCCTCTGGGGAAAGCCCCCCCATCTTCTCCACATCCCACACCGCTACAAGGTGCTCCATTATATCAGCATAGTCGCCAGCAGTGTACACCCCGGTGCGTTGCGCTACAGCGGAGAAATCGTCGAATAGGCGGGGGTTCTCCCCATCATACATGAGGTGAGCTGGCATGACGATCTGGAAGAATAGGGCGGAAAAGGGAAAAGACGCATAAAAAAACCATAAGGCGCAGTTCTCCCAATCGTACATGAGATGAGCTGGCATGACTGTCTGGAGAGGAGAGGGATGGGAAATTGGAGCATTAAGAGTGGTTGAGTTGAGCCATGGGTCAGGGGTGCTCCCATCATACATGAGGTGAGCTGAGCTGGCAAGCCGATCTGGAAGAAAGGTGCGCAGGAAGAGGCAGATGGGAGGCAGGGGGAAGGCAGAAAGGGGGAAAGGGAAAGGGAGGAAGGGAAAGGGAGGAAGGGAAAGGGAGGAAGGGAAAGGGAGCGAAAGCGGTGAAAAAGGGGGTTTCTTCCCAGCGTGCATGAGGAGATATGGCACCATGATGTAGAGAGGAGAGGGAGAGTAAAATGGAGGTACAAAAAAAACTTCAACCATAGCAAACAGGCAAGGAAGGCACAAATTCGTACCCACCCTTACTACCCCATATCTGAAGCGCTTAGGAAATTCTACAGTCAGGGCTTTGTACAAGCACACACCCTGGACCCCACATCCCCCACTCTTATCTTTGATGCGCCTCAAAAATATACTCCTCACGGTTGGCGCTTTGCACTCAGTTGCTTAGGCATGGCGGCACACACGTGCCGCTGAGACCGCCAAGTTAACAAATGCAGTTGTTTCCTTGTCATGTCTTCGAGAGCTAGCTTGTCAGACAATCTATTATACTTCAATACAGTATAATATTTAGCACAAACCTACCTGTCTTCACAAGGTACACCCTTTCATGCCTCTTCTCATCCACCACTATCACCCTGCACACCATTTTCAACCGCTATCATCCGCACCATGATCGCACAGTACGCCCTTTCGTGCCACTTCTCATCTGCCGCTATTGAGCCGGCTCAAAATCAAACCTATCAGCCTGCATACCACCACTAGAATACTTCCCATCCTTCGGAGAACACATCCATGCACCCATCCATGCACCCATCCATGCACCCATCCGTCCATTCCCCCATGGACCCATCCATGCACCCACCTGTTTCCGCATCATGCCTTCAAACGCCACAATCGCACAGTACGCCCTCTCGTGCCTCTTCTCGTCCGCTGCTATCAGCCCGCATACCACCACTAGCATACTGTCCAGTTTCCACGGTTCCATGCATCCCGTTGCACCACATACAAGCACCCACCCTTCATCCATCCATCCATCTGCCCAGTATGGCACCCACCTGCTTCCTCGTCATGTCTTCAAACGCCACATACATGCGCCCACCTGCTTCCTGGTGTATTTTCAGTCGACTCAAAATCGTCCTCTCCATGCGCTCACCTGCTTCCTCATCATGTCTTCAAAAGCCAGCATGGCTCCGGAGGGGTCGAGCTCGAACAGCCGTGCCATGATTGCACAGTACGCCTTCTCGTGCCGCTTCTCGTCCGCTGCTATCAGCCCGCAGATCACGGCCAGCCGGTCGTCGCCAAACTCCTTGGCGTGGCGCGCCGTGTTGCCGTGCGAGATGAAGGTCGCGCGCTCCTGAAACGAGGTGTACACAAACCCTAGATACGGGTTGTTCTCGGTCTTGGGGTCCTGGTGTTGCAAGAAATACAGGACAGCGTGTGAAAGGAAGAGGGGGAGTGGGGGATGGATAGAGGAGGAGTGAGGGAGCAGATGGAAAAAGGGGGGTGGGGGGTGAAGGGCAGGGAGGGAAGGGGCGGATCAACGCCAGGCGGTCATCCCCGAACTCCTTAGCAACGCGCCATGTTGCCGTGGGAAATGAACGTTGCACGTTCCTGAAACGAGGTATACACGAACCCCAGGTAACACTGTGTTGCCGTGGGAGATGAAGGTCGCACGCTCCTGGAAGGAGGTGTACACGAACTCTAAGTACGGGTTGTTCTCGGTCTTGGGGTCCTGGGTTGGGTTGGGAGAGTGCGAAGGGAGAAAGGGAATGGCCAGCGAATGAGTTGGCGTGGCGCGCTTTGTTGCCGTGGGGGATGAAGATCGCATGCTCCTGAAACGAGGTGCACACGAACCTCAGGTAGGGTTTGTTCTCGGTCTTGGGGTCCTGGGATGGTGCTGACAAGGGGAAAAGACAGGCCGAAATCTGGCCTAGTGCCATCTAAACCACCCCTCACTACACTCACCAGCCGTTGCACCCCTCAGTGTGATAGTAATTTCGATATAAGTCGGCCCAAAACGTCCTCCGTTCAACCTCTCAGTACGTGCTCTCCTAGGCAGCATGCCAAACAAACCCAAGGAATACAATACAAAACCCCCACACTCACCATCCCAGACCCAATCAGGTAGTTGATAGTCTTCTCAACTGCCCCCATATCCACGCGCCCGGTCACGTTACGATTAAGTATGAGCACAAACTCCCCACTCACCATTCCAGACCCTATCAGGTAGTTGATGGCCTTCTCAATAGCCCGCATATCCACCCGTCCGGCCAGGCTAGAATAAACAATGAGCAGTACCCCCAGACTCATCATTCCAGACCCTATCAGGTAGTTGATGGTCTTCTCAACCGCCCGCATGTCGACCCCCCCCCGTGGGAGATCCAGACACCGATTCAGCATGCCCCATCCACCCTCTCTTCCCCCCCCCCCCCCCCCCAATCCCCCACACTCACCATCCCAGAGCCGATCAGGTAGTTGATGGTCTTCTCAATCGCCCGCATGTTCACCCGCCCGGTCAGATACAGATACCGATTCAGCAGGTCTCCGTGCCGATTCTCCTCCGCCGTCCATTTCCGGGTCCACACCGCCCAGGGGCTGGGGCTGGCCCCAGTCTCGTCCTTGGTGCCGTCCAGTGTGTTGAGCATGGTCTGGTAGGTGGGCAGCGCCTCCTCCGTGATCATATCCCCCACCAGACAGACCAGGTAGTCGTCGGGGAGTGTTGCAGCACGAGCCTGGAGGTCCTTCAACTCATCGAGAAACGAGTCTTGCTCGGGGTGGGGGAGGTAGTCCTGCAGATTGGAGGGGGATGGCGCAAGTAGGAGAGGCAGGGCCTCCTCAGTGATCATGTCGCCCACGAGACACACCATGTAATCATCTGGAAGGGTGGGCACGAGCCGGGAGGTCCTTCAGCTAATCGAGAAACGATTCTTGCTCGGGGTGGGGGAGGTCGTCCTGGAGGGGGATTGAGGACAAGGGAAGACAGGAGAGCGAGAAGGAAGTGCAACGGTGAAGGGGGGGGGGGGGGGGGAGGTGCAGCCCAGGGGGTTGGGGCAAGCCCCGGTCTCGTTCTTGGTGCCGTCCAGCGTGGCAGGTGGGCAGCGCCTCTTCAGTGATCATGTCACCGGCACACCAGGTAGTCGTCGGGGAGAGTGGCGGCACGGGCCTAAAGGCCTGGAGAGTGACGTTTTTTTTCCGCGACTTTAGATCTCCGAAGCTCAAGAATGGCACACCAACCCACTCCACACCCCCGCTCGCTGTCTCCTGGCCGTCTCGGCAGCGCCAGCAGCGTCTCCCTCGCAAGCAGATTCGCCCATTCACCTTCCATCACCGGCGGTAACCCTATCTCTTCGCGACGTTCGATTCGCGAGCACCGCGAAACTCTCGCAACCTTATCTGCCAATGGGGTTTCAGCAGCAGCGGCAGCAGCAGCGTCTCTTCGCGAGATCGTATGTTACATCCACGAAGATCGCGACCCTATATAAATGAAGCTCGCGAATGACACAAATTCACCTCACCTGCGGATGCCAGCTGGTCTCCACTCCACGGGTTTCAGCGTCGGCAGCAGCGTCTCTTCTCCTTGCAAGCGAGTTCGCGCATTCATCTTCCCTCACTGGTAGGCAACCCCATCGCTTGACGAATTCGAGACGTTACATTCGCGAAGCTCGCGAAAGCCTCTCACCTGCGGCTGCCAGCTGGACTCGACGGGTTTCAGCAGCGGCAGCAGCGTCTCTTCCGCCCAGCCGTCCATCGACTCGATAATCGCCAGCCGCTCCTTGCTGATCGTGTGCGCGCGCTGCTGCGGCACGATCAGGGTGGGTCCAGGCTTCTTAGCGCCCCCATCTGCGGGAGATTCCGACACCCTGCGGGGAAAGAGCGGGGGAAGAGCGGGAGAAGAGCGGGAGAAGAGCGGGGGAAGAGCGGGAGAAGAGCGGGAGAAGAGCGGGGGACGAGGGGTTGGGGAAGAGTCCGAGGGTGGGAGAAGGCAGGGAGCCGGAAGGAGACGTGGCCAGCACAAGAAGCAGCGTCTCTTCCGCCTAGCCGTCCATCGACTCGATGTTCGCCAGCCGCTCCTTGCTGATCGTGTGCGCGCGCTGCTGAGGCACCATCATGGTCGGCCCGTGGGCCTTCTTAGCTGCGCTGTGTGCAGCTGTGCAAAAGGGAAGGAGCGGAGAACGGGGGAAGGAAAGGAGGTGGGAACCGTCGCAGCGGTTGGGACTCGATGATCGCCGCCAGCCGCTCCTTGCTGATCGTGTGCGCGCGATGCTGCGGCACCAGCACTGGTTAGTTTTGAGGCGCCTCAAGACTGATCGTGTGCGCGCGCTGCTGCGGCCCCACGCGTCAGCGTCATGCCACGGAAAAAGGCTTCGTGCGATGGAATAGCGCGTCGTGCGACGAAATAAATGCGTCGTGCGACGGAATAAATGCGTCGTGCGACGGGAAGAAACCTCCTGGAGCGTGGCGTGTGGGGGGAATTGAATTCTCGCATGACTCGGAGTCATGATGACAATTTCGTCAGCGATTAATTCGGCAATTTGATATTCGTCCCCGCCGCCGACTTTTCCGCCGACTCTTCCGCAGACTCTTCCGCGGACTCTTCCGCAGACTCTTCCGCTGAGTCAGCGGAGACAACCGCCCAGTCAACCTGCTGCCACAGTACTGGCGATCGAGGGAGTATCGCGACGCCCCCAAATAGCTACTGCCTGTCTGACGAAGGCCGTTGACGAATCTCGGTTCTGGTAACAGTTTTCGCCCGAGTGGCTTTAGGAGACGCCACTGGCGTCTCGAAATTTCCGACGTTGGATTGGGATGTGAAAAGCAGCGCACAGAGTAGAAGTTTACATTCCAGTTGACTCGAAGTCACCTCGGATTGGACTGCGAAAGCAGCGCACAGAGCAGAAGTTCTGAGTCGCCTAAACTCTCATCCCCGCGGTGACGCAACGTACTTGGGTGGAACCGTCGCAGTCATCGCCCATCGCGGCGCACTCCCCGCGGCGACACCGTGCGACACCAGCGAAACGGGTGTCGCGGAGATCGCGAGGCGCTTAGCTTTCGCCAATGACTGGGCGGGCGCGGCTGAGAGCCTGGCGACAGGCCTCGCGGAGAGCGAGACTGAGGCCATGACAAGAAGCGCGCGGGTTAGGAAAGGGTTCAGGCGAGGCGAGTTACAACGCTGACGGTAAGCTTCTTCTTGCCCGAAAAGGAGATTAGCAGAGGAATGGACGGAAAATTGGGAGTGAGAGCAGGAAATGATGTTCCTCGGTAATAATTCGTCGCACAAGTGATGCTTTCGTGGAAGGAAATTGACGGAGTGGTGAGAGTGGCTTGGAAATTTTCGAGCTCATGGCACCACACTGCCGCGAAACAGTTGACGTTTGGAGGAAAGTGAATGTGGCGGCAAAGTCGGCAAAGAGCTCACTCACTCCTCGGCTCCATGCATCTCACGAAGGCACAGAAGCAGACTGAGAGATGCGATCATGCGAGGAAATAAGTTACCAAATATACCTGTGCGACATGCTTTTGCGCAGATTTTTCTCGTCGCACGGGCGTGCGGGGAAATTGGCGAAAAGTCGCAAATGCCTCGTCTGGAAAATCGTCGTGACAAAGGGATTGCTCCTCCACGTAATCCCACGTCATCCCCTTTCAGCGTGTGGCACACAATTGCGCCGAGATCAGGGGGAAGGGATTCCATCGTGGTTCCGAGTCGCGGCGCGCGATGGAGCCTTGTTGCCCCAAGCGACAGAGCTGAAGGTAGCAACGAAGATTAGCGACGGTGAAATATCAGACCGACAATCAGCCAGCAGAGGGAGTACACTTTGTATGGAAGAGTTCGAACGAGGCGAAGCGTTACCTCGAGGGACACTTTGTAGACTTGACGGCCGACCAACCACGTTTGCGGCTGTGTTTGCGACGATCCTCCCGATGTTTCGCGCAACGTTTAGGCTGACGGCAAGTGTCTGACACTTGTGACTGCTCCTGCGGAAATGAAGAACGCCAGAACCAACAGTCTCAACACTCATAAAGACTGACTTGTTTGGAAACATAAGTTTGGAACATGAGGCTACAATTGAGGCACGAGGATACTATGTTGCACATTACAGCAGTCAATTATAACTTGGGAGCATAAGTTTTACCAGTGGGTATATCAGGTTGAGAATGCGAGAGTACACTAAATGCCGGTTTTTTATATGAAAGTTCTCCACCGACAACGTCCTCGGGCGAATTCGGTGACTCGTCGGCGTCCATGGAAAATTTCAGCAGCATCCAGCAGCGACAGAAGTTGGATCCCGTGCTGAGTGGGTGTCCGAAGTATAACTAATAGGTACATAACGTTTTTTTTTTTTTTAGAACGGTTAGAGAACAGAGAGTCTCGGTTCTGCGACGTTGCGAAACCTTACGCTCTACTTCGGGCACCCCCTAATGGACGACCACCCTCTTGTTCTTGGACCCACCTGCCCGACGGCAGAAAACTGTACAATCCCCGAAGTAGCCGTTGCGTTTCGCTTTTCACCCCGAATCAAAATGATTTATCAATTAGGAAACTGCCGATACATCACCAATGCACATGGTACCAGACCCAATATCCGAAAAGAACCCCTTATCTGCACAGAAGTTTGTTCCCAATGTGACGGAAAACACGCCCTCGAATTCCGCGCTGCGTCCTTCCTGACGGATTATGCCACGTTTTCAAGCACGCGCTCCTCTCCTACTATTGCTGGTTTGTGCCAACCGGCTCCGCATTTCCCGCTGCCGCTGCCTCCCAGTCGCGCCACTTGAACCCACCTCGTTGTCATAGAGTAACCCGGCGTGTCCCGCGGTCCCGACTGGAAAGTGACTCTCTCACAGCCCGAAATAGAAACTGTAGCTTCGCTCGTGGTGCGTCACTAATGGTGTATCGGTGCTCCAGTGGACGTCTCTACTTTGAGTACGGAACTTGGGCGTTGCCTCGACCGACGGTATGAGCGCGATTATGGTCGCAGTTTCCTACACAGTTCCTACTTGCTCCCTGATGCAGACCTCGAGACAAAACGCGTCAATCTGAGGCTCGTCGCGGCGTGACTAGTAGCTGTTCTCGGGCACGCTCGGCCTTCGTGTCAAATTTTAGACCTTTCGAGGGCTTAGTAGTGGTAATAACGAGTAGCCGATGAGCACCAATATCGAGCTCCTAGTCTAGCCGTACAAACGAGTAGCCTAGCCTGTGAGTATGCCAGTAGCATGTGATATCTATGAGCTCCAACACGTAGGTAATTCAATTCGCATGTGTATTGCTACCGTAGCACCCATGGCGATTACGCCCTAAGATCAGCTAAGTGATTCTGCTGAAGCAGGCCGATAACGCTTTAGCTTCGCGACACGTCCCTTCTACGTGATTCGCCTGTCTTCCACTTCTTTTCGACCTGTAAACGAGACGTATCAGTGGCGGACGGTTCTTTTGAGTCGACTCAAAAGACATATCAGTGGCAGACGGTTCGCGATTGACGGACAGCGGACGGTTTGAGTGGCTGACGGAGATCATTACTGACGGAAATTGTCTGACGGAAATAGTATTTTCCGCGGGAGCGAAAGCAGCGTTTGACACTGTTCCCGACGGATTATGGCGCCCCGAGACCTCCGCTCATTCTCCCGTAAACTCTACCTTATTTTCCTCCTGCTCTGCGTATTTTGCGCCGCATCTTCCGCTGGAGTTCCCGGAAAAGCGCCCGCAAGTGCTCCCGCCCCATCTCCCAGCGACGAGATAATTCCAGATGTCCCCGGTATAGACTACTCCGTTAATATCACGCTTCCGGTCGTTTCAGGCACATCAGGGGATCCCGTGGGTCCTCCCATTTGTTTTCGCCAAGGGCCGTCGCCGCACCCGGTTCCAATCCCTTGTGGCGACAACCTCTCGCGAACAGTCGCGTCGCAAGGGGCGTCCCTCGCCAGCGTGCGAGTCGCATCCAGCGGTGGTTCGAGTCGGCCCCTAACAGAGAGTTCCACGCCGAACCTCACTCCCGCTACTGAGCTCTTCGATATATGCACTGGAGCAGGTGCGTTGCGTACACTTTTTTCTCAACCTCCTCTTCCCCTCTCGATCCCGTGCTGCGGAATTTAGCGCTTCGATTGGTATTGTCTTCTTGCGTCTCTCACCTTGCTCTCGGCTCATGCCTCATGCCTCATGTCGCATGTCCCATGTCTCATGTCTCATGTCTCATGCCTCATGCCTCATGTCGCATGTCCCATGTCTCATGTCTCATGTCTCATGCCTCATGCCTCATGTCGCATGTCCCATGTCTCATGTCTCATGTCTCATGCCTCATGCCTCATGTCGCATGTCCCATGTCTCATGTCTCATGCCTCATGTCCCCAGATCCCGCATCCGCCGACCGTCACATTCCACGTCTCATGTCTCGGCACGCCTGTTCCCCCCTCGCCCGGTCTCCAGCCTCCGCGTCAGTGACTCTAACCCCACGTGGGCGGAACAAGTGGGCTGAATGCTTCGCTTCTGTCCCCCAATCCGCCCTCCCCCCCCCCCCCCTCCCCCCTCCCCCCTCCCCCCTCCCCCTCCCCACTCCCCAATCCCCACTCCCCCTCCCTTTCCCAGGCTCCGCGTCAGTGACGCTGAACCCACGTTGGCGGAACAAGTGGCGAGGCTGGGGCACCTCCCTCTGCTGGTAAGCCACCCCTCCCCCCCGCCCCCCCCCCCCCCCCCCCCCCCCCCCCTCGCCCCCCACCCTCCGCGTGGCTGGGTTAGGCTGGGGCACCTCCCTCTGCTGGTAAGACCGCCCTTCATCTCTCCCCGGTTCTTCCCGTCCTTTCTCCCCTTCCCCCCCTTTTGACCCCCCCCCCTGCTGGTACGACTGCTCCTCTTCTTTCTTCCCCCTTGTCCCCCCCCCCTCGCTTTCCCCCTGCGTCCCCTCCGCTTCCCCCCCGCTCTTCCCCCTCCTTCTGACCTTCATTTTGCTGGTAAGACTGACATTTTTCTTTCGCTGAGGGTAATTCACCCCACTCAATCCCTTAACGCAGCAACGTCACTCCTCAACTAACAAAGCACTGTTCTCCCGAACCTTCCCAGGCTAGGATTCAAGCACCATGTGCACCTCAACAGCACTGTTCTCTCGTGGATCTCCTATCCTCCCCTCCCCAACCATCCAAGCACACTCCCACCTGGCATTGCACTCTTCTCCCGAACTCTCCCTCAACTCTCCTTCTTTCCCTCCCTGCTTGCCAGGCTAGGAAATTTCGTGGGAGGCTTCCCTGATGCCCACTTCAACCCTCTCATGGACCTCCTATTCTCCCCATCTGGTCTAAACCTCAACATAGTCCGCTACAACATAGGAGGCGGCAACAACGCTACCAACAGCCCCCAGTTTCAAACCGACAATCTCAAATGGCGGGGCATGCCGGGCTTCAAGGCCACGGAGACAGCGGCCTACGACTGGTCAGCGGATGATAGGCAGCGGAAAGTTTTGCTTGCTGCCCGGGCGCGGGGGGCAGACACGTTTGAAGCCTTTGCCAACAGCCCGCCCTGGTGGATGACCGTATCTGGGGATGTTGCTGGGGCGGCCAAATGGGGCGAGGGGAATCTGAAGGAGGAGCACGAGGATTCTTTTGCAGATTTTCTGACGGATGTGGTACAGAAATTCGCTACAGATAAAACCTGGGGCAAGGGTATTGTATTTGAGACCGTGGAGCCTTTCAATGAGGCTTTGGAGGGGTGGTGGAGGAAAGGGGGAGGGCAGGAAGGGTGTAACATCGGCATTGATCAGATGAGGCGCGTTCTACAGAAGACCCAAGCTGCTCTTCAAAGGAAGCAGCTTAAAACGAAGATTGCTGCTGTGGACAGCTTTGTGGAGCGCACTCCGCAAACCGTTTCGGCGTTGGACTCGTATGTAAGCCGCTACAACGTGCATGGTTACATGAGCCTGGCGAAAAACGGGTCGGATCCGGTCGCGTGGACGAGCAAAACCTTTCGCGATATGAAAGTGGCAGCAAAGGGGGTGACAAAGCCGGTGTGGATTTCGGAATGGGGGCCTCTGAGTCGAGACGGGGATGATATGGGCGTGGCACTGTACATGGCAAGATCCATTATTGCGTCGCTAAACATTTTAGAAGCTTCTGGGTGGGTGTATTGGCAAGCGATGGACCCGTCATCGACCTGGGGGCTGATCAATATTGACTGGTCGAAAACGCCGGACTCGTCTACAGTGTACACTCCGCCGACGGTCTCCAAGAAGTTTTGGATCATGAAGCATTTTACGAGTCTTGCTCCTCCAGGCAGCAGGAGGCTGGTGCTCAACAAGGTGGCGTGTAACTACGGGATTGCAGCTTTCTACATGCCTAAAAAGAGGCTGATCAGCGTGTTTGTGGTGAATCAGAAGGCAACTTCGAGGAAGGTGAAGATTTTCCTCACTTTGTGGTTTCAGAAGAATGTCGGTGGCACGTCGAAGGTGCTCTCGTGGAGGACGTCTTACTCAGAGGACTTCGTACAAGTCGACTACAAAGGACTACCTATACGTTTCCAAATCCCTGGTAGGTCTTTCGCCTCATTTGCAATCACTCATGTGAGGCCCCTAATGAATATCAATCTGCCATGATAGATGCCTTCGTGATTTGGCAAGGAGGTTTTTTGTATGTAATTGTTTGTTTTGATTTTAGTGGATTGAGGTTCTACTTTGTTTTTTTGTTTTGTCACAAAATTGGCATGAGTGCACAGGGAATCCATAATCGGTTTGAAATGCGGGGCCTTGTTAGCAAAGAGCGCATCCTCTTAGCGAAGGCTTCATTTCTGAGACAGCTCCTCTGACCACACAGAATTCCCCTCTCGTCATAGGCGGGCTACGACACGTCAGCCATCACTGTACCAGCATCACCGCCTCGCCCACACTGCGATTACGTGTGAAGTGGCATGGTACAGTCTCACACTTTCAGCCAGTAAAGAAATTTGGAAGGCTAACATTACAAACCTCATGAAAACCTCCACAAGCCTCTGCAAATCCCTTGAGACCTCTGAATGCCTCTGAAGATATTCACACACCTACACACCGCGTTCAGACCCTGGGGTCTTCGAACACGGTTGTGTGGCTCTCCTCTTGACACACAGGTTCTAGTAGCCTATGGTCCTAAATAAGTTGCTAGCGGTTCCTCCTCAGACCTCGAGGCGTCGTGACGCGTGTGACGCGTGTGTGTGTTTGTCACCTGGGGGAAGAAAATTGGGACGGCGAGGATTTGAGACCCGGAATCGCTAGCTTTTATCTTCTCGTTTCGTCAAATCGTCATCCCACTCTTTACCAAGCTGCATCCCGCTCGTTTGATTTCTTTCACCCGTGCGTGCTGCTGCTCGCTGTGGCTTCCATGCTTCACCGCATGTCTCCTAACTCAAGCTCCCTCCTCCCTTCCTTAGTCGGTGTTATCCTCGTCTACGTGTTGTTTCCGTGGTTGGCTCCTCCTTCACAGTGTCACGTTCCGTAATCACGCTCACCAGTGTCACGTTCGGCAGTGTCACGCTCGACAGTATCGGTTCGCTAGTAACACTTCGGAGCAATTCCACTTGGAGTACCCCAAAGAAATTGGTTTTGCGACAATGATGACAGATTCCGTTTCATGGCGTCCAAGTCGTTCCGTCACCGTCACCGTTAGTCTCCTCGCCTTAGCCGGCATCTTTTTCCTTTCAGCCGTCACCTTCTGCTGGTTTCCCTCGCAGCCATCACGTTCCCCTTCGCCGTCTGTTGATTCCACTCTAGGCTCACCGATTCCGGTCAGGCGTAAAATCAGAACACGGCCAGTTTCGGTCAGCTACACGTATCTCCGGTCTCTGTTCGCTCAGGCCAATTATGACGTCCATAATCTCCTGCGTTCTTTCGCATCAGTTCACTCGTCGCATGACCCATCAGTTCGCTCCTCCTCGTCGCATGACCACTCAGCTCGCTCGTCGCAGGACCCATCATTTCGCACATCGCATGACCCATCAGTTCGCTCGTCGCAGGTTCATCATTTAGGTCCCGGAGACACTGGAGGCAGGGTGGTCCCGTTTGAGCGACTCTCTTTGTCAGGCGGAGACGGACAGAAGGAGCATGATTTTGAGGCTCCTAAAAAATACGCTGGAGGCGGAGAGGGACAGAAGGAGCATACTTTTGAGGCGCCTCAAAAATACACTGGAGGCAGAGTGGAGCCGTATGAGCGACTCTCTTTGTCAGGCGGAGACGGACAGAAGGAGCAGCTGGTTGTTTCTGACGGAGTGAGACAGGAAGAGCAGCTGGTTGTTTCTGACGGAGACGGACAGAAAGAGCAGCTGAGTGTTTCTGACAGCGTGGGACACAATCAGCAACCGTCTCCGTCCAATTTTCCCCACTGGCGGCCGTGGCACTGTGTGAGACACAAGCCCTTCGTTACTGTCACACGCACAAATTTCTTCAGCACAGGCAGCAGTGACAGCATCAGCAACAGCAGCAGCAACAGCAGCAGCAACAGTAGCAGCAGCAGCAACAGTAGCAGCAACAGCAGCAGTGACAGCAGCAGCAGCAGCAACAGCAACAGCAGCACTTTCCCCAGCAGCACCAGCACTAGCACCAGCACCAGCACTAGCACCAGCACCAGCACCAGCAGCAACAGTAACGTCTTCGATATTGACATGCCACTGGTTCAGCTGCTTCTGCTGCATGCTGCTACAGTGTACAACGAAGACATCGCATCTTTACACGCGTGGAACTGCTCCCAGTGCGTGCTGCCAGAGATGAGGAGGTTCCACCTCTTTCAAATCATCGTGGAACCCACTGCCCGCCTGCAGGTAAGGCGTGGGATACCTTGGGAATACCGTCTAGGCAGCTGAGGGAGGGTATTTGGCGCATTCCGCTACAGTGTCCACTGAGGACGCTGCATCACGACTGCTCCCAGTGCGTGCTGCCAGAGATGAGGAGGCTCCATCTGTTCCAAATCATAGTGGAACCCACTGCTCGCCTGCAGGTACGGCTTTCAGGGTACCTTGGGAATACCGTCTAGGGTAGCTTAGCGAGGGTATTTGGTGCATGCCGCTACAGTGTACAGCGAGGACGCTGCATCGCTGCATCCAAGTAAGGCGTAGGGTACTCTAGGGGAGGGTGTATTTGGTGCATGCCGCTACAGTGTACAGTGAGGACGCTGCATCGTTGTATGAGTGAAACTGCTGCTGGGTGCGTGCTGCCAGAGATGAGGAGGTTCCATCTGTTCTAGATCATCGTGGAGCTCGCCTGCAGGTAAGACGGCTGCATGTAAGACGCCTGCAGGTAAGACGCCTGCATGTAAGACGCCTGCATGTAAGACGCCTGCATGTAAGACGCCTGCATGTAAGACGCCTGCATGTAAGACGCCTGCATGTAAGACGCCTGCATGTAAGACGCCTGCATGTAAGACGCCTGCATGTAAGACGCCTGCATGTAAGACGCCTGCATGTAAGACGCCTGCATGTAAGACGCCTGCATGTAAGACGCCTGCATGTAAGATGCCTGCATGTAAGACGGCTGCAGGTAAGGCTCAGGGTACCCCAGCTTTCATGATGATCTGAAGCAGATGTAGGGCTCAGGGTACCTTGGGAAGATTTCATCTGTTTCAGATCATCGTGGAACCCACACCTTTCCTGCCTGGAGGTAGGCGTAGTAGAGTGCTGTGGTGGTGCATTAGAGAAGGAAATCTTCGGCACAGTGCAATCAGAAGTCGTGCTTCTCTCCCTTAACTACCGCGTTCTGGGAGACACCCGTTGCCACCAGGGCACTAGAGAAGGAAATTTCCGTGTGCAGCAGGGCACCTCAAACGCCCACCCTGCACCTTCATCCCTCGTCAGCTTTGCATTTGCCTTCTCCCGCCTTCTACAGGCCTATGTGGGCTGGGTGGGACCCTGCATCTCACCTCATCATCGTCTCCTTCAGAGGCACTTGCACCTCCTCCCTGCCCAACTGGATCGCTGGCCTCCCAATTCCCTCTCCCTTCTTTCCCCTTCCACCCCTCTGCACTTCAGGCTTATGTGGGCTGGGACCCCGCGTCTCACTTCATCATCGTCTCCTTCAGAGGCACCTGCACTTCGTCTCTGCGCAACTGGATCGCTGACCTCGAAGCCATGCCCCTCTCCCCTCTACAACCTTCCTAGTTCCACCCCTCTTCTGCCCGCTTGCTCCTTCCCTCACAGGCCTATGTGGGCTGGGACCCCGCGTCTCACCTCATCATCGTCTCCTTCAGAGGCACCTGCACCTCCTCCCTGCGCAACTGGATCGCAGACCTCGAAGCCGTGCCCCTCTCCCTCAACTACCCCGGTCTGCGCCACGCCCGTGTGCACCGGGGCTTCTACTCCGCCTACCACTTCACGCGCCTGCGCCCCGCTGTCGTGCACGCGGTGCTGTTTCTCCTCACTATTCTTCCCGGATCATATCGGGTGGCAATCACAGGGCACTCCCTTGGAGGGGCTCTGGCGACCCTCAGTGCACTGGACTTGCAGGTAGGCGATCGCTCTTTCTTGGTCACTCTTTCTCCCGTTTCTCCCCCTTTCGCCCTCGCTCTCACACATGCCTCTCTCCGTCAACTCAACTACCCTGGTCCGGTCTGCGCCACGCCTGCGTGCACCAAGGCTTCTTCTCCGCCTGCCACTTTTGAGTCGACTCAAAAGCTCTCACCCTTAACCACGCCTGTCTGCACCGGGGATTCTTCTCCGCCTGCCACCCCACGCGGCTACGGCCTGCTGTTGTGCACGCGGTGCTGTTTCTGTTGGCCATACATACTGCTTGGGTCGTATCGGGTTGCTGTCACAGGCATTCTCTCAGTGTCGCTGTGGCCACACTCAGTGCACTGCACTTGGTAGGAGTGTCCACGCAGTGCTGTTTCTGTTGGCCATACATACTGCTTGGGTCGTATCGGGTTGCCGTCACAGGCATTCTCTCTGTGGCGATCTGGCGACCCTCAGTGCACTGGTCTTGTAGGAGGAGTCTATTTTTGAGGCGCCTGAAAAATAATCTCTCTGTCTGGCCACACTCAGTGCACTGGACTTGCAGGTAGGCGAATCTCCCTCACTCTCTCTTCCTCTCTCTCCCCCCTCCCCTATCTCTCCCCTTCCCCTCCCCCTCCTCCCTCACACCCTTTCTCCCTTTCCCCCAGGTGTCCTACGATCTCCAGTCGTCCGACATTCGAGTCGTCACCTTCAGCTCCCCTCAAGCGGGCAACGCTGAGTTTGCCCTAAACTCTCTCGACTTGGCTCTCCTTTCTCCCCCCCCCCCCCCTCAACCCCCACCCTTTCTCCCTCTACCCCAGGTGTCCTACGACTTCTAGTCATCCGACATTCGAGTCGTCACCTTCAGCTCGCCTCAAGCGGGCAACGCTGTGTTTGCCCTAAACTCTCTCGTCTCGGCTCTCCTTGCCCTTCCACCCCCCCCCCCTCCTCAACCCCCCCACCCTTTCTCCCTCTACCCCAGGTGTCCTACGACCTCCAGTCATCCGACATTCGAGTCGTCACTTTTGGCTCGCCTCGAGTGGGCAACGCTGTTTTCGCTGCCTACTTCAGCCAGAAGGCTCCTAGAAGCATCCGGGTCACCAACTGGAAGGATCTCGTGCCGCACTTGCCGCCCGCAACCATTGGCTACCACCACGTGGCTACAGAGGTGAGGTAGCAGGATGTCATGGTAGGTCCGTGCTGCATTTACTGCCTGTAACCACTGGTTGCCTAAGTGGAGAAATACGCTTGGGCAGCCTAGCGTATTGCGTACATACGCTAGCGTATAATACGAATACGCTGTACGCTAGCTAAGTACGCAATACGCTAGCGTATTTCTTGGCGGGCAGCCCGGCAAGAAATACGCAAAAAACGGTGCGACAAATTTGCGACATGACGAAACCCCACAGGGATTTCGTCATGTCGCAAACCGAAATTTGGCTTTTCAAATCGTCAACCCAACCCCTTCGCCCCTCCCAACCACACAGCATCCCACCCAATCTGCGACTTCCAAACAACACCCAAAGAAATCTCCTTCCTCTCCCTCTCTACTCTACTCCAGCAGGGTTCAGCGCAGTTCACTCCTACGACGAAATCAGGGTACAAGTAAACTGGCGCGCTAACTTCAGTCATTTCTTCTTCCAAGCTAGCGCGACTAGCTAGCTGGTCTTTTAGCGACTGTTGCTATGTCGAACCCTCCACCTAGTCCTGGTTCCCACGGAACCGACGCGGGAACCTCCTGTGCTGCGTCTTCCTCTGACGAGCTCCTGGAGAACTCCACCCACGCTATCTTTAAGCATTTCAAGTTTAAGCATAAGGAGCACGGCAAGCAGCAAAAGTATTGGTGCAAGTACTGCCCCGTATCCTTTACCGGGACGGCCTACCGCTGCGCACAGCACATCACTAGTTGGGATGGTATGCGTAGGCGCGAGGTTCGGAAATGCGAGGAGGTAGGGAAGGAGGAGCAGGCTGCCGTCCGCGCGTTCCAAACCGCCTAAGTGCTCGCGAGGGAGGAGGCACATAGGGCGGAGGAGTCGGCCCTCGACGCCGTTAGTGGTCGGGGAAAGCGGAAGATCACCGATTACCTGTCCGATGACGCCCAAGCGGCCAAGGCGGCGGCGGATGAGGCTATTTGCCTCCTCTTTGCCGGCCTCCGCCTTCCCGAGCGCCATGCCGACCACCCGCTTTGGCGCAACGCCGTCCGGTCCATCGCGCGCGCGGGGACCAGCTATGTGCCTCCAAAGCGCGACTACGTGGGTGGTGCCGGCTTGCAGCTATGCCGCAAGCGGATTGACGAGGGATTGACGGGCGTCATGTCGAGCTGGAAGCGCCACAGCGTGACGATTGCCAGCGACATGATGACCGACAAGTGTGGCAGGCCGCAGGCGAATGTGATGCTGGTCAATGACACCGGCGCAGTGTTCGTCGAGAGTATTGACTGCAAGATGGAGAAAAAGACCGGGGGATACATCGCCCGGCTCCTCCGGCCCATCCTGCAAAAAGTTGGGGTCGAGAACATCGTGGCATTCTGCACCGATGGCGGCAGCAACTACCACAGCGCCTGCCGGCTCCTCATTGCAGAGAATCCGCGCATCGAGCATGTGCCGTGTGCGACGCACGTGCTCGACCTCCTTATGGAGGATGTGGGACGGCAGGCTTGGGCCAAGGAGGTAGTGGGACGGGCGAGCGAGCTCATCAACTACACCCGCAGCCACCATTGGACCCGACAGTATCTCAGGGGTGTGGACGGAGGGAAGGGGCTGCAGATGCTGAGGCCGGCGGGGACCAGGTTTGGGACGCAGCACATTGCTGTGTCCCGCCTGGTGGAGTTGCGGTCAACGCTGGTGACCATGGTGCTCTGCGATGCATGGAAGGCGGAGTGGGCGGTGGGCCCAAGAAGGCAGCTGCAGAGACATTCCACGACCAGATCATGGATAAGGACTGGTGGCCAGCGGCTGAGCTCTTCAAGAGGCTGCTCCTGCTCCCGTTCAAGGCCATGAGGGCGACGGATTCGGCAACGAAAGGGATGATGGGCCGCATCTATGAGCTGATGCTTGAGCTCACTGTGAATGTGGCAGAACTGCTGAAGGAGGAGGGGGATGGGGTGCTGAGTGCGGGAGACAAGAAGGGCGTCAATGAGATTGTGAAGCGGCGTTGGGATGAGAGTATGGCTTGCCCACTGCACGTGGTCGGGCGGATTCTTAACCCGGTCAACCAGGAGGAGCGGATTTTTGGGCCGGACACGGAGTGCACCAATGTGTTCAAAGCTTTCATTGCCCGCCACTATGGCGGGGTGATGATTCCCCAGAGGGATGGCCTGCCCAAGCGTGCCACACTCCTCCTGCAGGAAGGGTTGGCCGCCTTTCTGAAGTTGAGGGGCAGCTTCGGCACGGCTGAGGCCATCAGTGACCGGAAGTTGGTGAAGGAAGGAAGTTATTCCATGGAGGCGTGGTGGGAGTGGCACGGCACTGACCACCCCTTGCTCATGGCCCTTGCTTGCCGAGTGCTAACTCAGCCGGTGTCTGCATCCAGCTGCGAGCGCAACTGGGCGGTGTGGGATACTGTCCACACCGCCCGACGCAACCGGCTGGGTTCAGAAAAGTGCAAGGATCTGGTTTACGTTGCGCACAACTGGAAGGTTGTGCACAACTGGCACATGGCCGACGAGGGGGCGGGGGTGGTGTCCGGTAACATCCCGGACGCCCCCGTCCCTGCGGGGTACAGGGTGGATCGGGAGGAGGATGAGGAGGGCGAAGATGAGGAGCTGCTGGACGAGTACCTGTAGAGCAGAGCAGGAGAGGGTTAGGCGGGCGGTTTGGGGGAGGCTTACCTGAGATGGGTGGTTGGCTGGTTGTTGGAGTTTGGAACCCTTGACATGCCCTTGGTGGCTTGAACTATTTATTTATTACCATGCTAAATGATGCCACATTTGGTGGGGGGAATTTGGTGCTCTGAACCCCCCCTCTTCCCTCCCCAAACAGGTTTTTTTTACCCCTGCCCGAGTTGTTTTTATACCTGCCCGCCAGAGCGTATTTCCTAGCGTATCCAATCCCATAATGAAGCGTACAGCGTATATACGCTAGCGTATAATACGCTTGCGTGTAATACGCTGGACGCGTATTTCTCCACTTAGCTGGTTGCCACCATTTTGCCACTTAGTTAAGAATGCAATGAACTTTCTTATTGCCCCTATGTTTCTACACTAGCCGCCAGTCAGCATTTGTTATCACCACGTTGTTACTGAGGTGAGAGTTTTCCGAAGAATTTGAAACCACGTGGTGCCTCGATGCTGTTTATACGCCTTTCCCCCCTCTCCCCTGCCTTGCTCTCTCTTTCCCTCTTCTCCTTCCCTCCTTCGTGTCTGGTGATTCTGATTTCCACTCTCTCACTCTTGTGCCAGGTTTGGATAGTTCCCGATTCGGTGCAGAAGCTCTCGTTCAGTCATGAAACTTTTGAGGCGCCTCAAACCTCGTTCAGTCATGAAACATTGCCAATGATGGAATCCGCTGCAGCACAACCCGCTGCAGCACAACCCGCTTCAGCACAACCCGCTGCAGCACAACCCGCTTCAGCACAACCCGCTGCAGCACAACCCGCTTCAGCACAACCCGCTTCAGCACAACCCGCTTCAGCACAACCCGCTTCAGCACAACCCGCTTCAGCACAACCCGCTTCAGCACAACCCGCTTCAGCACAACCCGCTTCAGCACAACCCGCTTCAGCACAACCCGCTTCAGAAGATTTGGGAGCACCCACTCTGGTCTTGTCAAATGCAAGGGAGCGTCCTGGCCATTCTTGGTTACAACGACAATCGTTACGGCACCAACTGTTACATCGCCAGTCGGAACAGAGCGATTTGTTACAACGGCAATTGTTACAACACCGAGTATTGCAAGAGCAGCTTATTCTGCTTGACGAAAGAAACGGCCACGCCGCACATCAAGGTGCCATCCCCCACATACATGCCCCTACTCGTTCCCTCTCCACCTCCCCCTCTTACCCTCTCCCCCTTCCGTCCCCACCCACCATCCTTCCCCTGCCCACATTCACACACACACATGCACGTTCACATGCACCTGTGTCCTGTCCATTCCTCTTTCCCCTGTCACCAGCAACACTCGCAACCCCCCCCCCACACACACACCAATCTTCTGGAGTCATTGTCGTCCCTTGCTGCTCCTCACCCTACATTCCACGTGGCATGCAGGTAATCTGACGTGGCATGTACACCAGTGTGACGAGACAGGAGAAGACCCTTGCTGCAGCAGGTGGGTTGCTGGGAGGATTGAGCTGCTCGGATGTAGCAGACCGGTTGTAGCGGTGTGGCTGCGGGGATGTAACAGATTGGTTGTAGCGGTGTGGCTGCAGAGTGTAGGATGTAGCAGACTGGTTGTAGCAGTGTGGCTGCGGATTCTAGGATGTGGCAGGTCATTTTTAGCAGTCCTGCCCATTTTCTGAAGGTGGATAAATTCTGCAGTCTGTGCTGCTAACTTACTTTTGAAGGTGGGTTTGAGAGGGGAGTACACCCTCCCCCTCCCCCTCACCCTCAAACCCACACCACCACCTCCCCTCTTCATACACCCTCCCCCTTCTATGACCTCCCACCCATCGCCAGGTCTGTTGTGGGGGACAGCATTGCCAACCACCTAGAGTATCTGGGGGTGCCCCTACACTCAGGGCGCAGCTCAGGTGAATTTACCAGGCTGCAGGAACCGTCAGGTGCTTCCAACAGAGGGCAGAAACATCGGAGACTTGTGCTGAAGAGCTGAGCTTGTGGCAAGCCCCAAGGTCCAACCAATCCCATCACATCTGAGTGTATGGGGGTTTCTTCTGAAACCACCTATTGTGTATAACTGCTCTCGTGGGTTCCATAATCCATTTTGAGGTGTATAGTTTCTCGTATGTGTTTCATTTCTTAAATGTTCAGCTGCTTGTATTGTCATAACTCAGTCACTAACCACTGAGTTAAAAAGGCTTGTTTAGTAGCGGGTAAGTGCGCCCATAACCCCCCAGGCTCTGTACCTGTGACCCTTCCCTGAAGATCTCAAAGGCAACCCCAGCGGGCCTCTCGACACCCCCCCTCGTTAGGATAGGCGCGGAAGACTTGGGAACTCTTGTCAACTTATACGTGTGCATTACATTTAGAAGTTGTAGGCTAGACAGGGTTGTGTTCTTAGAGGGTACCACACCAACCCAATATCACTCCTGTACTGCCTTGTTTCTAGTCACTTTGCTATTCTAACATGGTATCATGCTAGGTAGGTCCCACTCACTCGCGCTTCTGCCCCAGCCTACCGTAGAGCGTCGCCCCTAGCCCTAGCTTGTCGTACCACGTAACTGCGCCGGCCCCAAGCTGTCGCGCTCGCCCAGCCCGCCGTGTCGGCCCCTTCCTGCTGCGCCGCCCTAGCCGGCCGCGACGGCCTCAGCTCGTCGTGAGGCCGTGTCTCGCCGCGCGGCCCTCCGCTCACCGCGGTCCCAGCTCACCGCGGCCCCCGCTCGCCGCCGGCCCCAGCTCGCTGTGGCTCCTAGCTCGTCGCGGCCCCAGCTCGCCGCGGCTCCCAGCTCGTCGCGGCCCCCTGCTCGCCGCGCAGCCCCAGCTCGCCGCGGCCCCTGCTCGCCGTCGGCCCCTCAGCTCGCTGCCAGCCCCATCTCGTTGCGGCTTGCGCTCGTCGCCTGCCCCAGCTAGCTGAGGCGTGGCTCGCTGACCTGCGCCACCAGCAGAAGGGTCAGCGCCAGGACAGCCAGTCCCTGGCCGTCCATGTCTACGGTAAGCTTTCCTGCCCCGACCCGCCTGCTGCCCTCCCTGACGGCCCCACACCTGCTGAGCGTGAGGCTTTCGCAGGTGTTGAGCTCGCCCGCTCTATCTGGGAGTCGCGTGACGCTGTTGCGCAGCTTGCCATCAGTCACGCCCTCCCCCTGTCTGAGTGTCCATGATTTCAGGCCGTAGAGACTGCGAAATAGTACAGTACCTAGCAGGGGCGCTAGCCATTGACGCATGTCATTATCACGAGAAAGAGAAGGGATGGGATGAGGATGGGGCGTTTAATACAATCGATTCCACGTGGTCTTTACGAGCCCCAAAACCATAACAGGCTTCATATTTGAAACGAGGGATACCAAAACCGACTCTTAGTAGTTGCCTTTGAAATTGCGCAGGAGGTGGTGAATGTTCAGGTTGCAATTCGCACTGCGTAAGCATAGAAACGATGCTTTCAAGCCTAATAGAGTTTGGTTCATTTCCCAAAATAGTGAACGATGCCAAACTGACGCGAGCGATAAGTGGGACTAAGCACTAAAATCAATCCCATCATAGCATGACGTGACTCTACTCTAGAGCCAGGTTCCATCGCAACAGATGTACATCAAGTATTCGTTCAAGTCTGCGGTTTCGTTTCGGGCGGGAACGATTGTTTTATCTGCTTGGTGATTGTACCGCTATACATTCTCTCGCCTGAGAAACCCTCGTTCGACAGGGCTCGCTCTCTGTGCGATAGTACAAACCTGAACCAAACTTGAGGTGAGTGTAACAAAAAGCGTAATGTAATACGTGCTATTTAATCGAATCCTTGGGTGTAGTCAACAAGGCTCACTGTTATGATCCGGATAGGAGTACAATCGTGAGGTCGTGATCAAAATGTGTTGAGTACAAACGAAGTATAGGGCTAAATGCAAGCACAGCTAGCCTAGCGAGAGAGCCTCAAGGAAAGCCACGAAACACATGCGAGGTGGTTCGGGGCGCCTCGGGACTCGGAAGTGTCGGACGCGACGCCGCATGCAAGCTTGGGGTCTCGAACATAGTTCAAATCTGAATTGTTGGGCCGAGCCTGGAATTCTGAATGTCGGGGCTGTACTCGATGTTAACGAGGCTCGATAAGAAAAATGGATTTTCCTTACACCTTCTCCCCCCCCCTAGACGAGACTACCCACATTTGGGGCAGCCCGATCATGTAAATAGGTCTGCACCAATGGGTGGTTGTCGAGGGTAGCAGCTGGGACCCATATGTCATCATCGCACGTACGGTCAACTCATCGAACCAGAAATTCCAGAACCCGCTGACCTTGGTCTCGGCGGATTCAGTGGGAGAGGATTTGCTGTGGTTCGGTGGTTGGCTCAGGGACCGGTCTGACCGAAGGATAGATTCATTGATGGTCGAGAACAACCGTGTTTGCAACGAATTGTCGAAGGAGACTGACATGGAATGACTCGTGGATACACCAGGCGTCCGGTAATAGTAACTTGGCGGTGACATGTATCACCATTCGGACAATCCGGAAGGGCCCACAAAATCTCGGGCGGAGTTTATGGGGTATCTTGGTATCTGGAAGGACTAGTTGCCCAGGAGACAAGGGTAAATCCCGTCGATGCCTGTCCGCGTACCGTCTGGCCATAAGGTTGGCTTTTGAAATGGCTTCGGCAGCGTTTTTCTGTGCAGTCTGTAAATCCTTGACGAACCGTTGCGATCGTGGGGCAGGGCTCTCAGCTAACGGTGTAGTGGGAGTTGTGGGGTTTAGGCCGTAATTCAAGTAGAACGGTGATTGGGCAGTCGTTGACAAAGGGGCGTTGTTATATGCAAACTCGATCAGGGGAAGGGAATCTTCCCATTGGGTCGGGTCGGTGCAGGTTGTCCGTATCAACCGTCTCCATCTGTCCAAAAAATGGAAGTGAATCAGGGGTCACGATCGCTCACGATTGCCTTCAAGATTCCGTGCAGGCGAACGACGGTTTAGATGAACAGCTTGGCAATTTGCTTGGCTGTGATCATCATTCGGCATGGCGCGAAATGGGTCATTTTTGTGAGTCGGTCAACGACCACGAGTACAGCATCACTTTTGGAGGCGCCAGCCGGTAGTCCTGTCACGAAGTCCATGGACACGTGTGTCCAGGGCTTGGTGGGCAGTTCTAACGGTTGCAGTAATCCAGCCGTTAGAAATGTAACGGATCTAACGGGAGAGGATTTCATGAGTTGGCAGGTGGGACATGAGGCCACATATTGCTGCACGTCGTGGCTCGCATTCGGCCAGTAATAATGACGTTGGAGCATTTTCAAGGTTTTATCAACCCCGACATGCCCTGAGCAATTAGCGTGATGAACCTCCAGTATCAGTAATTCCTGTAATAATCGGTAGGATGGCACCCAAATTCGGTCAGTACCAGCTTTTAGGTGGTGGTAGTGGCCTCGTTGAGTGGTCAGGGCCTGGTGGCCGTTAAAGGTGAAGAGAGGATCCGTATTGTAGCCGTGGTTAAACAGTCTAGTTAGGAGCGGGTTAGCTTGGGCGATTAGTACGGCGGCTGAATGGGCAGTAGGGCGGGAAAGGGCATCGGCAATACTATTTGTCCCCTTCTTGTAGGTGATGCGGTAGTGGAAGTTGGACTCGAGATATTTGAGCCAACGAATCTGTCGTGGATTGAGGGTCAGTTGGGCTCAGAGGAACTGTAGGGACTTGTGGTCTGTTCGGACAGTAACGTCGGCACCGGATAGGTAGCAGTGCTAGGTCTTGAAAGCATTGACGATCGCGAGCATTTCCTTGTCGTAAACTGGGTAATTCCGTTCTTTGCCGTGGAGTTTTTGCGAGTCGTGGGCGATTGGCTGCAGACCTTCGCCAAAGTCCTGTAGCAGTACCACGCCAACGGCGATGTCGCTGGCGTCCGTAACCAGTTTGTATGGGCGGTCGGGGTCGGCAATACGAAGAATGGGTGATGTCATAAGTAAAGTTTTCAGTTGGTCAAACGCAGCTTGCTGCCTCTCCCCCCATCCATAAAAAAACTCCCTTCTGCAGTAAGTCGGTTAACGGGTTCGAAACGGATCTAGTGGTAACCTCCTCGTAGATCAATCTTGGAAAAAATCCTAGCCCCACGAAGTTGGTCGATGAGATCTTTGGCTCGCGGAATCGGGTAACGGGACTTAATGGTAATGTTGTTGAGCGCTCGATAATCGGTACACGTCCGTATGCCTTTGTCCTTTTTTGGGGTGAAGAGAATCGACGCGGTGAGGGTGATGTGGAAGGGCAGATCATTTTTTTTCTCCAGGAGATAATCCAGTTGCGTACGCAGCTCCATCAGCTCCAGTTGACTCAGCCGCCATTGCGATCGGACGGTCGGTTGCGCGCCAGGTTCCAGCTCAATTTTTTTATGGTGTGGTCATTCGAATGGTAGGTCGGGCGGCAGGTCATCAGGAAAAATCTTCTCGTACTTGCGCATGATCTTCACCAGGTCCTCAGGTATAGCAGCACACATCTTCTCCGGGTCGGTCTATTCAGCCACCTCCAATGATGCGATCCATCGGACGGCGTAGATGTCCACGCCACGTGCCATGACACGCTTGATCGTCACGTTGTTCACTAGTGTCGACTGAGGGCTGGGTGGTTTCCACTTTGGCAGTCGTCGCCACTCGCCACTCCCTTCAAACGAATGTCGCCATTCCTCCAATCGATCTTGGATTGTAAGTGCAAAGCCAATCGCACCCCATGAGCACATCGCAGCCGTCCAACGTTGTTGCCAGCATCTTCATGGCAACTGACTTGGCTGTCGTAATCAATGCGAACGTGTTTCACCCGCTCCCGCATTGCAAGTGGCGTGCCATCGACCAACATCGCGTCAATCTCGGGAATGCACCTCTCCATTTGCAGTTGCAGTTTCTTCGCTCTTGTCACATCAAACAGATTGTGTAATGCTCCACCGTCCACAAATATTTTTAATATGGTGTTGCCAACGTGCCCTTCCACCAGTACAGGGCAGTCAATTGGTTTATTCCCCTTTAATCGGGTGTGGTCGATCGCATAGATCGGCACTACGACTCGGTGGGAATGGTGATCTTCGGGCGACGAAGCCTCAACAGTAGGGGCCCCGGCTGCTACTGATGCTGTCCATTTCTCGGCTTCCTTTCGTCGTTAGCTCTCAATTTCATCAACCCCAGACAGTCCTGCATGATGTGCCACTGCTGGCCACATTTATAACACCGGCCATAAAATCTGTTATTTGACGGTGTCGCCACGCCTTTGATGGATGGGTAATTTTTCTGCCCTCGAAAACGACTCCCCTCCTGGAAATTCGTCCTCGGCCATACGCTGTTCTTGTCCCACACCTCTGCGACCTGCTGCACCTCCAGGAACATCGCCGGGCGGCGCATGCGAATTTCTCGCTGGACCTCCGGTTTCAGCCCTAGGATGTATCGAATTGTCTTCTACATCTCGTCTAGATCGTCGATTTCGT